TATGGTACTTTTGGCTTTCTAATAGTTGTTATTTTGTAGGGACGAAGGATTGACTCACCGTAGAAGACGACCAGAGCTAGGAATTCTGCGCCTCTCCGGTCTATGCCTATTTGCTTAATATTTATTTTATTGGTTTGATTATACAACCAGATGAAATAGCCACCCCGGTGGCAGAAGCGCGCGCGTTAAGGAATTTGTGTCAAAGGGCATGGGTTTGATCCTGCCTTTTGTCATTTATTTTCTTCACATTTTCATGTTTTGCAGGATAACTTATAAAATACGCTGAAGCTATTTCCTAACACCAAGGCACATCTGGCCTGGTGGTGAAGGTGATGAGTGAAAGGGTAGAGGGTGCTGAGTGATAAACCATATTTTCATCAATTAATTTGTTCACAAACCCTATTAGGGTTTAGTTTTTTGATTAATTATTAAACCTTCTTTTTTAATTAATTAGAATTAATTAGGGTTTTTAGGTTTTTTAATTAATTAAAATTAATTAGGTTATTAGGTTAATTGTCAATAACTCTTTTCTAACAAAAATCAATCCAGGCAATTTCCTTTTCCTTTTCCTCTCTTACCGCTTCGCGTATTTTATTATTTTCGCCTTTTTCGATTATTGTAATTGCTTACGGTTTGTAATAGTTAATTAGGGTTTTTTCCCCCGCATTTTTATTATTTGTACCTCCATCCCCGAATAGCGTAGACTTTTATTTTTCGGCACTTATATTTTTATGCTTTGGATACATTATTGTTAGCTTAATAGGATTGTATAGCAAGAATAAAAAAAAACGGTAGAAAAACCTTAATGAGGATAAATAAACTGAATTGAATACACTCGGATACGCGCACCTCTAGAGTAACCTCACTTGTTGCCTTCAGATGAAAAACAGTCATGTCCCTCGAACGTGGGGACGCTTTAGCACCGTCCCTCGATTAAAAAGATCGTAGTCCCTCGATGACCCTTTCGATGCTGCCTTCGATTAACGATTTAGTCCCTTACGAATTGCTAAAGCGCCCCTACGAGTTGCCTTTGATGACTGTATGATGAACTGTGTCTGTCCCTTCGCATCCAACGATAGGGCTTCCTACTAACTAATAGTAGGGTAGCACTATCTAAATGAGAAGGAAAAGAACGATAAAGACTTTGAGTAGGTAGATAGCTCGTAATCGCTTGCTCACAAACGAAACAAACAATTTTTCATACAAATACTTTCAAAAATATTTTCAAACAAACACTTTGTACTCATTCTTGAGAATTATTACAAAGTTGCCTTACTATTGGCATTTCTAAATATTTTTCAAACACATGAACACAAAGCATTTTCAAAATAAAGTGAGCTAGCAATTAAGAGCTCATAGATAACTACGGATGAAAAGGGTGCTCACACCTTCCCTTTTCATAACCTACCCCCCGAACTCAAAAATCTCAAAGGTTTTTCCTGTTCTTTTCACCCTTTATTGGATAAAAGAAAAGTCGACAGCGACTCTTGCTATCTACAACATTTGCGATAAAACGCAAAACCCAAAGTCAGTTCTCCCACTGTTTTACAACATGTAATGTTGAATCGTCTCTATAATTACTCCATTTGAGAAACTTATCTGAAGGCTCTATTAAACGTGTGAACAAATGGCACACATACTTTGTAAATGGATATAAATTTCACACTGATGAATGGACAGAAGGAAAGAAAACCATAAATAGTAGCGTGTTTGTAAAAGGAGTTACAAATGGTGGTGAAGACGACTTCTATGGAGTCATTATGCACATTTACAAGTTGGAATACAATTATTTGGACTCGAAAAAGAAAAGTTGTCTTGTTTTATTGTGATTGGTATGATCCATCTACTAGATGCACAAAAATAAATAAAAAAATAAAACATTGTAGAGATTAAAATGGACCGAAGGTACAAACATTATGATCATTTTATCATGGCACATCTTGTCAGGCAAGTTTATTACGTCCCTTATCCTTCAATTCAGCAGGGTAAGCAAGATTGGTGTGTTGCAATCAAGTTAGAACCAATAGGACATATTGAAACTGATGAACTTATGGAAGACCTTGCTTATCAAGCCGATGAAATGTCATAAAATAATGATGTGATTGTAGTTGAACAACTTACAAGTTTGTGTGATAACGAGGTTGAGGGCAAACAAGTTGATGCGTCTATATTATTGTCAGTAAATAATGTGGATGGAGATGATAAAGAGTCGGAATCCAAAGATAATTTTGAATCAAATGAAGATAATGAATATTTTCAAGATTTTTAATGAAGATTTTGTTTTCATGCCTTTAATATTGTTTATTTGAATGATGATGCATCTAGTATTTTAATGAAGATTTTGCTGTCATGACTTTAATATGTTCAAACTAAATTAATTATTTTATAAACAAATTCTTTTATTTTAATTAGGTACAATGCCACCCCATACCGGGGATAGAGGTAAGGGTAAGAAAGGTCATCACACGAGGATACGTATAGTTGAGGTGCCTCCAAATTCCATGTATTGTCCTTTGCCCTAGTCTAGTCGGGGGGCTCAGTAGACTAGGCCTCAGTCTAGTCAGGGGGTTCAGTAGACTATACCTCATCCTAGTCAATGGTCACAGTAGACTATGCCTCAGCCTAGTCAATGGGCGCAACAAACTCTGCCCCAGCCTCAGTCTATGACTTCACTACTCACTTCACAGGATGCTCCACCAGGATATTTATGCCTGCACCATTTCATCCAGACATACCCCACCATATATGCAGTCTGGGGGCTATAGCATCCCATATCCCCCATCTAGACCCTCATTTGTCCATCAGCCCGAGGGATCTCACATCCCACATCCTCCACGTGGATCCTCGTCATCCTACCACTCTAGAGGCTCACGCACCTCACATTCCGGCTCATGCACACATGGATCCTCGACATCCCATCACCCTAGGGGCTCACACCCCTCACATGGAGCCTCACCAGTCCATTAGGAGCAGGATGACCATATATTGCCCGACCAAGAGGAGGAGGAAGAGGACTTTGAGGACGTGGATGTGGTTGTGATGGAATATACACATGAGAAGTTTGAGGAAAGATAGGTTATTAGGCCTATTGGAAACTCGTAAGTTTCTTTTTATATATTAAGCATATGTACATGTTTTCTTTTTTTTTTTAATTTAAATAATACTTATTCAAATTATTGTTGTTTAGTTTTGTGCCAAGTAGGCCTGCTGTATTTAGCATAAAAGAAGTTATTCAAGAGTTATATAAAGCATCTTGGAAGACGTTTGGACAACTTATGAAGAAGGATCCTAAGTTGTATAACAAATGGTTTGACAAATTTCGGGTATAATATTTTCTTTAAGAAATTAATTTTTTTAGTTTCTAACTATCTTGTTTTAATTATATAATAATAATAATAATAATAATTTTTCAATATTGCAGGAGAAGTGTGTAAGGCACATAATAGATGATGAGATGATTGAGATTAATTTTAAAAAGAGAGCATCAACCCGACTTTCTGACATGCTTAGGCATGCTAGAATTGGTTGGGAAGAAAGAGGGATCATACCTCCATGGATGGGAGAAAATGTATTTAAAGAATTGCTTGCTTACTGGAAATTAGATGAGTTTAAGAAAAAATATGAAAAAGCAAATCAACGTAGAGCATCAAAAAGGGGAGCTGCTAATCATAGAGTTGTAAGCATTAGTATTGCCGATCATGCTAATCAGATGGTAATTATATTTTCATCTGACTACTTTTTTTAACTATATTCTTAATTATGATATATTTTAATTGATGTTTTATGTTTATTAATTAGACTATTGCTAAAGGAAGAACTCCATTAATGAAAGAGCTTCACGAGAGGACTTATCAGGGAAGAGATGGAGAGTATAGCGACGAACGTGCTAGAGATACTCAAGTAAGATGATGTTAATATTTAAATGTTATATTAAATTTTTTTATTTAAATAAATTGCCTAAACTCTATTATTTAATTTAATTTTTTACATATGTGTAGGCGCAGTACCAAAGACTAAAGGCAGAATTTTATCTAAACATCCTGAGTTAGGTGGTCCACGGGGGCAACATCCTCTTGATCCAGCTATTGATCAATATCTTTGGTTGAAAGCAAGTAAGGGAAAGAATAAAAATGAGAAAATTTATGCTACTGGACCTTTAGCTAGCAACTACAAAAAGGGGTGTAATACCCTTAAATTTGTCCTACCTTTCTATCAAAAAACATTTGGCTTATGCATCACATATTTATCATATATATCACTTTTCATTAGGTCAATTAACACGTCATGAATTCACTAACTACAAGGTTTAGCATGCGACCAAGGATATAGAGTAATTAGGGTTTATCTGTGGTTTTAGGCTCTCATCTTCACTCAAGTGTGTTTTAACTAGTTCTTTATCAATCATGGTTTGTAAAGTTAGGGTTTTAATTCATGAACCCCTTTATCACCGAGCTACAAGGATATCTTCATTGTGGGTTTTTAAGGCATCAAGGTTCATCTCAAGGAAGCTTAGGATTTTGTGATCACCGTCACTCATTTGCTTCTAATTGCTCCTATCTACAAGGTTTTCCTCAAGACATTTACTTCAAGATCATTAGTCATCAAAATGAGGTGTCTCTGCAAAGTGAATTGCAAGATTTAAATCATGGTACAAAGGTGATGTTGTGGATGCGTAATATGATCCAAGGCATGGTTATTGTTTGTTGCTTCAGTTACAAGTTAGCTTGGATTTTGAGAAGTCGAAGTTGGGGGTTCAAGGTGATTTGTAATTTGTCCATTAATATTTGAAGTGAATCAAAGTTATTAAATTTGGGAGGGATTTCTTGGAGTTCAAATTACAAGGCATGTATCAAATTCACTCTTTTCATCCTAATCAAAGTATCATCCAAATATTCATTCAAGAATTCATTCGAGATTTGAGTCACTTTTGATTACCTTGCCAATGTTTTGGATTCATACCATAGCCGTTTGAATTCATACAAAGGCCTTTAAAGTAAATATTATAGGAAAAGAGCTTGGAACTTCAAAATCAATTTGGAAGATAAAAGTTACATTGAAGAAGCTATCATTGAATGTTCAAAGTCATATTACAAATAATTGCCATACACCATGCTACGCTACAATATTACAAAGCATTTCCATTATAAAATCACGTACCAAATCACAAATTGCAAAAAAGGAGTCTTTACAAAGAAACAAGTTACATGGAATAATCTGTCAAGAATCTGAACTTCATGATCAAGTTTCAACCTTCACTTTGTTTCGACTTTTGCTCCAAATCCATTTCATGCCTTTCATGTTGTAACCATGTTCAAACTCTCAATCTTGATTCCTCATATTTCTATGCTTCATGTTCCCAAGCATTTCGCAAGTGTAGCCTTCATATAACCCTGCATTTAATAAGAAAACTAGGTACATAAATCGGTTCTTAGTATCAATACAACCTTACAATGTACGATCCAAATGTTAAAATGCAATCAATGATTACATTAAAAAAACCAGAATTGAAGTTGCGCTTCAAGCCAAAATCAAAACAGTTTTCCAGCCTTGCATAAGCCCTATAAATTTCAAAAAATAACTGGACCAAAAAACAGTGTAGCGGTATTAACCTCCTCAACAGAAAATTGAATTCAAATCAAATATAAATCCAGCTCATAGCAGAGTAACTGCTAACAATAGCATTAACAGAAAACAAAACAAAAACTAATTCCCTAACTTGATCTAGCCAACTAACTCCTAACCGCTGTAATAGCAGAACATGCCAGCTTATCAATATTCCAAATAAATTCCCCAATCCCTAACTCAACAACCAACAAACTTCCAGCAGAAAAATAACTAAATAAAATTACTAACCCCAACTATTTCTAACTACACATAACTGAATCCCAATGTCAAAAAATCCTCCTAACTATTTCTAAACATAAATTACAACAGAAAATCTTAACTATTTTCTAACCAACAGCATAACAGAAATGCCTCTAACTTCACTAACCAACCGAAACAGATTTTAACTAAAATAACCGCCTAACTGTTTCATAACAGCTTCCAAACAAAATTTAGCAAAAACTTACAACAGAACTTTATCTTCTTAACTAGCCTATAACAGTCCAACAAACCCAACAGCATAACAGACTTCATGGCTCAACACTAACCATAACCGCATAACAGAAAACAAAAACTAATTTTCTAACAGTTTCTATATAACTAACTGTCAAAACAGCACTCTAACAACCTCTAACAACCTCTAATAGACTTCAACAAAATCTCAGATAACAGAAAAAGGGTTCGAAATTTATAACAGAAAAGGGAGGAGGGAGTCGAGGATTGAGAACAGAAAAAGTCGCAGAAAATTAAAGGAACTCGCCTCTCTCTGAACGGCATCAAGACCTTCCACATCATCTTCAACCTTCATTATCAATCTCCATTTCTCTCCCTGCAACTTCATTCTACAATTCATCATTCACCCCCCTTCATTCACCTTCAAACTCTATAGTCATTTTGTACCTTCAACCTTCCTCTTTCGGTCATCTTCACCATACACATCGCTTCAATCTTCAGGCATATTAACAACCTTAGCTTCATGCAACAATAATTCCATCACTTCAATCTTCAACTTCAAGAACTGCATACATCAACCTTCAACTGCGTCAAGCTTCTTCAGTCTATGCTTCAGAATTGATAATAGCGATTTCAATATGTAGCTACCACGACTCAGCACATCGACAACAACATAATAATCATAAAATATGCAAACGAAGGGAATCGATCTGAATAATTTCTCAAAAGAAACAAGTAGAAGAGTAAAGAGTGAAGAAACGAAATCGGGATCTACATAAGCAATGAACCGAAAGGCTTACATGTATGAGATTCCTCGTCTTCACTATCGCTGAAGAACCACCAGAGTTCTCCGGTAGGTAAGATTCAAAGTCCTTTTTCAATTTCGCATTTCTATATGTGAATCGATGAATGAGATCGAAATCGGAGGAGGTTGAGAATCCACAGATCAGAATTGGAGGCGGAAATGAGATAAGGTAGAAGACGATTATTTGGGATCGTGGTGGTGTTGGCGGTAATATCGTTGAAAATTGCAAGTTGGGAGAGGAAGAAGAGATTTCTCTTAGGGAAGGTCAATGGTCACAACTTGAACTATAATCTCCCCTGAAACGCATCGTTTCACTTCCTTTCAGTATCTCTTTAACTAATTTTGTTAATGATTAACATAATGATGTTGATTAATTTTTTAGTCATGGTATTAATAAATAATAATTATGCTGAAAGTGGATTGATGATCTTCAAAGGGTGCATCGAAAATTTCTCATCTTCAGGCCCATCATTACGTTTTTGGTAGCCCTTGGATCATACATAAAAATAGCTAACTCATTCATTTTGTTTAGATTTTTCTCTAATCCTCTTTTCTTAATTTCTAGATAATAATATTAAGAATAAAAATTGATGATAGAAATTGCAAAAATCAATAAAGTTTGTTAGTTTCTCTTAATCGATTTTGGGAATTAATTCTCTATTTTTAGTGGAATATTTTCACACATAAAAAATAATAAAAAGTGTCATTTCTTTTAATTTTTATCCATATCTTCATACCGATTCGCCTTGTTATTTTTTGACGCGTTTGTTCATTGTGCAAGGCACTATTTTTGCTTTCGATCATGTAACATGATAGGTAGTTATATGATCAAAGCATATGGCTTATGCTCGCTTCTGATGTGACGCGCCTTATTTCTCATCGTCCTAAGAAATTCATATCATATTATATGTTGTCTTGATACATGTGATATTTTATGATGCTTTGTGCAGGAACTTCTGATTATGTGTTGCATTTACAACACGCATTTGCTTTTAGCTTAGTTGGATATTGTTTCTGACTTTGTTTGTTTCTTGGTGAAGCTTGATCGACACGTACTCCCTGCTTCTCCATTGCTTCCATCTACTTTCGATGATTTGCTTGCTTGTGGTAGTCGACGCTACTACTTGTACATTTTTTCGCACTTTATTGCATTTCTTTACCGCTTTCCTAGAGATCATGAGAAGTAGGGCTTTACTACTTTCCTTTCCATGAAAAGTAGGGTAGAGATGTATAACGGGGATCTCCATTATTGATCATGTCAGGAATCCCTCTGGTTTATTTAAAGACCCACTTAGGGAAATTCCGCGTTGCGTGCATTTTGTTTGTTACTAGTGTGTGGTTTGTTTAAAACCCTGCCTTTTAGTAGGTATTATGCATGTGTATTTACATTTGTGCCTGCACTGTTCCCCCGTCCCTTATTGAAGTCCTAAAAAAGGAGGTGAGCAGGGAGGATTCGCAATCAACCCCCGCAATTTCGTATGTGTCATCTTTATCTCGTGGCGCACCACGATGCTTTGAAGTTGTGCTTGCTCTTGTGTATAGAGTCGTCAAGTGGGGAAGGGTTCCACAATTGAACCCCCATGCTTTGTCAGAATTTTGTAATGCCGACGCTGACACTCTGTGATTGTTCATATTGCCTTTTGTCGTTTACCTCGATCTCCTATATCTTGGTTAGGTGTTCAGTCGCTTTGGACATCACATTTTTTGTTGTTTCATCTCACTCCCGCTTGTTTGTCTCGGGTGATACGCTCCCCTTGACTAAAGCATTTCGATTATTTTCCTTACTATTTTATATGTGTTCTCTTTCAAGCTTGCTTGTTTTATCCATGTATATACCATGTTCCCTTAGGATGGGCTTGTACCTTTCAGATGCAAGTTAGACCTTAGGTTGCAAACCATGCATGCTAACATTAGGTAGATATTTCCCTTTCATCTTTGATGTAGGGCTACCATTGTATGATAACATTAGGTTAGAAATAGGCTAGTCCCCTTTAGACTTTTTTCTTCCTTTTTTTTGCATCCTTGCATCTAAAACTAAAACCTTTTCCTTAGCAAATCATAAAACATGTTAATAATACTTAAACCCTTTTTCAAGGTAACAAAATACAAACCAACTCAAACCTTTTTGTGCTTTCAGGTAAGGACATGATTAATTTACTTCTGTGTTAATGCGTGAGTCTCCAAAGGTTGAGTTGTGGCAGAAGGAGGAATCAACATTGTTCATAAAAAACATAAACAAACGAAAACATGTTAATCGAACTATGGTCACTCTGATTCCTCAAAAGGGAAACGTAGGCATTGGGGTAGGGCCCAAGTAAGTACAACTTTATTTTCCCTACATTCTTTTCTCCTTTATTTTGCATGCATTCTTCCTTATTAGTAAACAGTAAACATAAATTAGACACGCCCATAAGATAGATAACATGGGTTGATACCATAGAGTACTACGGGCGTGTGGGGTGCTAATACCTTTCCCTCGCATAATAGACTCCCTTACCCGATCTCTCAGTCGCAAGACCGTGACTTCTCCCTTGTTAGGTTTTCTCGATGTTTACCTTTCCCTTCATGTGGGATAAAAGGCGTTCGATGGTGACTTCATTGTTTGATGATTTTCAGCCAGTTGGTTCAGCTGGCGACTTCACTGGGGATAGGTCGACCAATTGCTAGTCCATCTCGGAGTCGCTCCTATCTCTTGTTTTCTTTTCTTTGGATGTTTATTTTTATGCTTTATGTTTATTCATTCATACATGATTACCTGAGCATATGTATGCATTTCATTTTAATATTTTCCATATACTACTGTTGTATTGGATTTGCTTCTTGCTGGATGGGTGCTACTATTGAGGTATAAGGCCCAGTACCCAGGCCAAAGTGCACTATCTAGGAAACCTAGGAATAGAGTGGAATATGACTGCTACTGGGCGAAGGTCCTATTATCCAGTCATGTCTTCTACGCTCATATGAGGTACAAACAGGGTGCTATCGTCCTCCACGTCTCTGGAATGACGATAATGCTTCCAGGCAGACCCATGATTTTGAGTTACCCTTGGCCTTACCCTGACCTATTTTTCACTCGTGAGTGGAGAGGGAATTACTATCACAGGTACATATGGTAACTATGTTCAGATGGTTACTCATATTCAGATGGTGATTATTTGTTCTAATAATTATATTCTGGATTTCTGTAGGTGACTAGGAGGTTCTATGATTTATTTTCTAAGTTCCGAATCTGATGCTCATGAGGTTATTTTTATTATGTTCCAAACATGTTATCCTGGTACTAGTAGACTATGCAGAGACAGTACAGCAGAAACCAGTATCATGGACGTAGTAATCCCATGACCATTTGCACTTGCATCATAGCATGTTTACTTTTTCAAAAGAAATGTCAGAAGAATGAAATTATATACTAACCTTGCATGTGCATGTCCATTGTGGGGTAT